CATAAATCCATATTGTAGCACAACCCTGGAAACGTAAAACCACTCATCATTATATAAAACCACAACTCGGAAAGAAACAAAAACAAGAAATGGCCATATAAAGATAAGTTCTGACTCGTCAATCTTTGGTCTGTTCGGGTCTGGTTTTGCTGGACAAAGAGCCATTTCCCTCATCGATACAAGGTGCGCAAATGCTTCATCAATCCTGGCCACTTTCCGTCCCTTCTTTTCCCTTGCTTTCTCCATACGCTCCTTGAAGGAGCGATCCCATTGAAGACAATGGAAACAATTTTCGAGAACCGTCTCCACATCAGCTGCATTCTTTCTCAGCTCTTCTTTCCAATTCTCGGGACGTTTTAAGACTCCCAAATACGCATCAAAAAGTCCTTTGAAAAGATTGAACCTATAATCATTTGGCTTCATATATAAACACAAACAGAGGATCCTCAATCACTTTTTCCTTAACACCACCGTTCCAAAAACAACTCTGCGCTGTGAGCTTAATAACATCAAGCTCCTTGTGTGTGATCCCTTTATTAGGAAGTCTACATGTAAACTTGTTAGTTTCTATACGCGGAGTCGGAACCATGAATTCAGCTGAAAGATTGGACGTTCGTGAATAATCATCATAGCCTGAGTATGTAACTGCAGAAACAGAGTCGATACGTTTAGTAGCACGAGCTGGATCTTCTTGAAACTGAGCATGGTATTTGGAAAGCTTGTGCTGGAAGAAAGCGTGATAACGATCAGAGCTCTTCAAACATTTTGAATAGTGCACGATTCCCATACATGTCTATCATCTTCCTCTCAAACTCCGAATCTTTTATCGAAAGGATACGCGCGGTTCTCTTGACCACACTTTTGATATCTTGAGGTGGAATTACTACACCCGACGGAACTTGATTCGAACTCTTCTTTTCGGTTTCTTGATCCGCAAGAACTGGTCCGACATTCCCATCAGCGTCTAGTGGTCGTGGCGGGATGAGCCTTTGCCTCTTTGGCATCCTCTCCCCCGACAGTTCCTTTGCTTCCTGAAGCAGACAATCACAAACCAAATTACTACCCAACCACTGCTTTTTATAAGCTATCAGAAAATGTTGAGATAGAGAGTACCTCAATCGAAGTGATTCCGTTGAACTTCTCTGTTTCTTGGATTCCTAAGCGACGCAATTTCAATCGGTGACACCATTTTTTTAAATGTCCCTCTTCCCCCCATAGCTTTCGTTCCCACATATCTCGCAATTGTACTCCTACAAGAGGAAAACACAGCAAAAAATTATAAAAACGTTTCTCTGTTCCTTTATAACAGAGAACAGACAATGGTCTAATAAACAACTACGTTACCTGGCCAAGGCCAAGTTTGCATAGCCAGTATGGTATAGGCTTGCCATCTCAACCCATTGCCCGATTCAGCGGATTGTAGTAATCATCGTCAAGACCAGTTTCTGGTTCTGTATGAACTTCCTCTTCCTCCATCTCTCCAAATGCCAAAGCCTGTCTCTTTTCTACCTTTTGTTTTGTCCTTTTGATTGTCTATACATAAGGTGACAACATGATAGTTTTAAGCACAACTTAAATATCTGATCATGATTATGGAGGAGCAAAATATGTAAAATTACAAACCTCATCAAGTAAATTGCAGAGTTTATTCACTTTGGCCTCCATTAGTGAGTGTTTCTTTTCCAAACCTGCTTGCTGAAAAAAAAAACAAATTGAATCAATTAAGGGCATACTCGAGGCAATAACTTAAGCTTATAACATGTGTAGATTAATACCTTTGACAGAATAAGTCTCTCGCCGCGCTGCTGCAGAGTACCATCAGTGTTAAGTCCTAATGCCCCCAAAGCCTGTACGACATAAAAGACATAACACAATTAAGAGAATATTGCTTTCAAGAAAGCATTTGTCATTACCTCTATTAGCTTTTCAGACTCCATAACTATCATTTCCTCAACTGTGGTATAGTAATCAAGATCCATAACAGATTCATGAGATGGATAAGCTCGTTTTCTTGTCCATGGTTCTCCGCTTTCCCGTCTGCATACCGCTCTTCGAAATCAGTTTCGACCTGCAAGAAACAACAATGTAATTCGCTGTAGGACAAATTGAACACACGATACAATGATGAAGAAAGAGAGAAGCTCAAACCTTATAAAGAATTCTGTCTAGATCTTGAAGCGGCTCGGTTCGCTTGAAAAAGTAGATTAAATACTCTAGCAGAGCTTCCATATACTTTGTGTATTGCCTTAAAAGAAGGAAAAGGCATGATCAGCTTCGGGTAGAAAAAAACAAAAATGGAGATTTCTAAGTTATAAGAGGATTCAATGAAATGTTTATTACCTGGACAACTTTAGTTTACTCGGTATTTTCTCTGGTTGAGAGAAAACATCAAGGTAAGCAGAATATTCAACTCTTTCCCCAAAATCGGAGTTGATGTATTGGTTATACATATCATGCAAGTCCAAGTACCGACCAAAGCCTTCCTTGCAAAACAAACAAACAAGAAGATTTAACAATGTTGAACAAAGAGACTTATACTAGTGGTTCAAAGATATGTTCTGAATTATATAAAACAGAAACTTACCTCTTTAGTGAACACAATTACTGGTTCCTCCTTGAGGAATTGTGTTTCATACTCTTCCTCAGCATCAAATACGCGTCCAGAAGGATGTTTTTCATGATATTCATGTATCTGTATAGGTTTATGATGAATGAAGTTAAATATATAGTTGCATATATTTGATACTTTCAATCATCAATGGAACTAAAAGACTCCTTTATAATTGACAATCACTAGACAACAATAAGTAGCAATTTGAACAGAACTAACACACTTTTTTCAGACCAAAGAAGATGCATAAGGGAAAGAAGCAAACCTCTTCTAAACGAGGAAGAAATTCACTAAACACATTTGTCCATGTAGTCTGATCACTAAGCGGTGGTATTTCATCTTCAATTTCCCCAGCCTTGTTTTCATAGGTTTCAACCTAACAGTCAAATCAAGAATCAAGGTTAGCAAGTAGCATATAACTTCATACCAAGGCATATCTATCTACTAACGTGAACTACAAGTCATCTAGGGTTAAGAATAAAGTGGCCTCTAGGTTAGT